GTGAGGCAATAGAAGCTCAGACTAGGATCTTAGGAGACCTGAGTTCAAATTCTCTCTATTCAAAGAAATTCAGCGGGTGACCTTTCTCAGCCTAACCTTCCTCACAGGGTTGTTGTAAGGATTTTTAAAAAGCATGGAAGAACACTTACAGTGCCTTGAAGTCCTTTGGGGAAAGGATTGGATACAAATGGGACAAGCGGCAGACCTTCAGGGAGAGGCAGCATCTCCGATCCAGCCGCTTGTGATCTGTTTTGATCCTGTGAGCTTTCAGTCTGCAGGGCATATGCCCTGCCCACCAGTCTAGATCCCATCCCCTCCACAGTCACCTGAAGAGGCTATACTGAGGGGTATTGGGGTAATCCACCACCATCCTACAGGTATCTTTGGCCATGCCTAATGTATTGGCCTGTCAAGTTTGCTATCCTACATATAATCTTCAGACTGATGGTAAAGTAACACACCACATAACCAAGTCGCAAGCCTTCCTCCAGCCTAGAGTGCCTGTCCAAGTCTCTTCAGTTGGAGGAAGGGTCTTTACACTGCTTCATGCTCATTTGAGTGGAATGATAGAATACCATCCAGTAACAATACATAAAGCCGTGATTACCAAGAAGACACCCATGGGCACCATGGCACCCGCCAGTGAGTTTCTTGGGACTCACTTTTTTCTTCCCCAAAGCAAAGAGCCAGTCCTGCCTTTTCTCCACCTCGTTTGGAGCAGGAGGAATTTGAAGAACCCAGGAGGTATCACCTGTGCGTCCATCAAAGGAGAATGCTTTGTAACTGACCCTAGACTTCCATGGTAGCCATCTTGTGATTGGCCCCAGTCTCCATGGCAGCCATTTTCTCGTGGGGCCGACTCCCTGTCCTCAAAATTCCAAATGTGCCCACAGGCTCAAAGAGACACAAAAGATCTCTTTTAGGGCGATGGGTGTGTCATACATGCAGTGATCCCCACTATTAACCATTGGTGTGTGTTCGTTTTTTTCAAATGCAGGTACTTGAGCGATTATTCCAGAAGGGATTTAACGTGGCAGCGTCCTGTGGTGGCGGTGTGGATTCCTCTCAGTTCAGTGAATATGTGCTATGTCGCGAGGACAGGAGACCACAGCCCAACACCGCAATCAGGATAAAGCAAGAACCCCTGGACTAAGGACCCAGTCCCTTCTCCTCCTTTGTAAAAGTAGAAGTGTCAAATAGTCCCTCGTGTGGAGAGAGAAAAACTCAAGGATTTGCAAAACAGTATTATGCAGGTGACTTTGGTGTTGCCAATTAGTGGTATTTCAGAAACTACCTGTCACATTGCCAGCCATGAACTGCATTTGAAAACAAAGACACAGACGCACACACATACAAAAATTCCGTTCTTTTATTAACAAATCACTGAGCGCGCTCCGCACTTGAAACTGTTTGTGGGGCGGAACTCTCGGCAGGATGGCCGCAGTGTGGACAAGAGGCGGTGCTTCAGTGAAGAACAGATGTTGGCTGGATTTGTGCAGAGAGACCAATTGGTGTCATTTGAATATGTCTGTTGAAGGAATACATCTGCCAGCTCTCTGGAGGACAGGCCCACTCCCCACTTGGTGGCATTAAGGACAAGGTCGCCACCTAAAGGAAGACGGTGCTGTGTTGAGTGTCTCCCCCCTCATGGAATGCCACACCTTCGTCTGATAAGATATACTTTTACGCCTCCATTGCTTTACCCCTTCTGTGGTTTCATTTGCTTATTGTATCAAATGGCTTATTTTTCTATACCACCCCTGTCATTGTTTGTGTGCAGAAACCACCCTGAACAGGGACCAGTTCTCAGACCTTTCTGGTACTGAATTATTTCCAAACAGGTGCCCCCTTTTGAGATCAGTGGAGATTGCACAGCCATAATAGCATTTCATGTGTTGCTCCCAAAACTTCAGTAAGAGTTCTGCAGATTCGGGAAGTTCAGCAAAAGTTCTGGAATAAGGCAGTGTAACGTTAAACGGGCCTTGTCAAGTTATGGTCATGGTTTTTTAAAACCGATCTACAGGTTTTAAGGTTTTTGATCACTGAAAAAATTAGAAATAGCAAAGGAAGGGCATGCATTCCTGGAACACAGCAAAAGTTCCTCCGGTCCAGCATCTGGTTCCTCACTGAGACCAATTAGATATCCCTGAAGGACGTACCAGCAGGGCATGGAGGCCATATTTCCCCACTGTCCCTGCCCTTCAGAACTAGTATTCAAAGTATTACTTAATTTACAAAGTATCAGAACTGGTGTTCAAAGTATTACTACAGGGGAAGGATATGGCATTATGCTTAATAGCTATTAATGGACCCTGTCCTCCATTAATTAGTTCAATCCCTTTTTAAAGCCATCTGAGCTAGTGGCCATGACTACCTCCTGTGGCAGTGAATTCCATAGGTTAATAGTACATCATGTGACATCTTTTTCTCTCCTGAATCTCCTGCCCTTCCATAGATCGGTCATGCAAGTTCCATGATTACTTTCGATTCTTCATTTAACCCCCAGCATGTTCACATTGCTTTGAAATGATCACAACCCCTGACTGGGCCAGGTTATTAGCTTGCAGGTTTATGTTTATGGGCGATAAATTATAGAATCAAGGTCAATTCTTTAAAGGCTGGTAGTGTCGGGTAACCCATAGTTTGGGGCTCTTGGTATTCCTTCGCGAGAAATCACATTTTAGTTTGTAGGTGCAGTGGCATAAAAGGGCAAGTCATAAAATAATTGTGTTTTCCTAGTGGGTGCGCTGGAGAAGCCCCATTCTCAGGACACAGTAATGTGCAGCTGCTTCTGCTCTGCGTTGACAGATCAGTGTTATGAAAGAATTGCATGAGTCTCTACATGGGAAAACATTACTTGAGGTTACTCATCCATGTAACTTAAAACAGAAAATGGATCTTTGAATTGGAACAGCCAGAAATCTAGGTCTCTGTTCACTGATCCTGCTGGGAAGAGTGACCAAGTCGTACCACCCATTTGTAGAACAGGAGTGAGTATAGGGAAGAGTGACCAAATGTCAGTAGTTAACGAGTTCTCTTTAAAACCCAGTCTTTGACTACCAGACATCTCATCAGAAGCTGCCCTCAGAATGTGCTCATTTCATAAACGGTGAACAAAGTGGACATCCCTTCTGCATCAATGTATTTGTCATGGTCCTGAAGGCGCTGAAAATTCTGTGTGAAATGTCCCTACCTGCCCACATGCAGAGGGAACATTCCCAGGATCACCTGGGGAGTGGGAACCACTATTACAACAGCTTAAATATAAACTGCTGATTCAAACCATTCTGAAAGAAATGCAAACCAAACCTGGCCAGCCCTGCACATGAAACTATTCATTGTCAGCCATTTGCAAATAAGGTGCTACATAAGAACTTACAGTGTAATCATGCCCCTGCTCAAATAAACAAACTGTCGTCTTTCCATCTTAGGAATTCAAAGATGGCGTCCAGTCTAGTAGGGTTGATACAGTTGAATGGCCCTTTTTTAATGTTGTTCAGCAGAGCTTGTGGAATTTGTAGAGCTTTGTAGCGGGAAGATTTCCAGGCCTTTGTGAAACTTTGGCCCCAGGGTTGCCTGCTTGTAAAAGAGCCCCTGTAGCTGCCTCTCTCGCAAATTAGTAGATGACCTTGGCTATCTTCATGCTACAAAAAGACTTCCCCAGTGATTCTAAGAACTCCCAGTGGCTTATGAAGACATAGATTCACGGTGGAGAGTGATCTGATCAGTTGGCAACCCTGGCTTGGCATTCAAACCCTAGGTCTTACTGATGCAGCTGAATTTGAGACTTCAGTCCCCATTGGTCCCTGCCACTACTACAAATCTTCCCCACGGCTACCAGCCCTACATTACCAATGCAGAACAATTGTTGCACCAGCAGATAGATCTGCCGCCTTCAAATACAATCATTTAATATCCTTTCCACTTTTATGGCACTCTAAATAAAATGACTCGGTCCTGGGGCCATCACTTTTGTATGTAAGATACCTGTTGAATTGTATTGTACTGTTATACGTTTAAGATTGTACCTTCCTCTGCCCTGACGTTACAAAACCCCAAATCATGCATACGTGTTTATGGACATTTCATTCCCATGTTTCATCCCACAGGCATTCTCGTAAAGGCAAAATTCATTTATGTGGGAATCTTTTGTTACTTAGCACATTCCTCAGGAATGTTTGGGGATTCAGCCTTGGCTGTTTTCTGGGGCCCAGTTCACCAGGAAATCCTCCCACAGAGACAGCGCAAAGGGGATCTTCTTTGGGATGGTGTCTTTGAAAACATCTGCTCTGATTAACCTGTTTCCCCAGAAATTTAAATAAGTTCATTTTTATTAGGGTCATCAGCCAGTTGAAGCAGCCCTAGTTCATTCATTGTACAGTTTTAGTTGAATAATTAATTGACTATTCACTTTTACACAGGAAAAAAAGAACCTACTCATTTTAAAAAATGATGTTCATTTTAGAAGATTCACTTATGCTGTACCTTGACTGGGATGGCCCAAGCCTTATCAGAGCTCGTCTGATTGGCCTTGGTTAGTACTTGGATGGGAGATCACCAAGGAAGTCCAGAGTTGCTGTGCAGAGGCAGGCAATGGCAAACCGTCTCTGAGCATCTCTTGCCTTGAAAACCTACGAGGTCACCATAAGTCACCTGCAACTCGATGACACTCTTTACCATCACCACTCATGATGTGCTGGGTGTCATCTTAGAAGAGGTATTCCCATCTCTCGGGAGAGAGTGCCTCTTCTAAAATGGTGTTTGCTATCTACAGTTGTAGTTTTTAGACAGTAATGTATCTGCTGATTACAGGGGCAGTTTTTTAGTGGGTTGAAAGATTTTGAATCAGTTAGGATCAGTTAATTTACTAAAGGTTGTAGCCCTAATAATTATGATCAAATTATTCCGTTTCAGTTCAGCACAGTTTGCTCAGCCCTTTTCCTGTGATGGTCTTTTTCAGATGTGCAGGACTGGTTCAGGAGATGTTTCTGCTGAGCTGTGACCCCTCGGGTATATGGGGGGACATTTTGCTCTTTTGACTGGAGATCAGAAAAACTAAAAAGCGTACCGAAGCTGCACAGTCATGTCCATTCCACATACAAACTTTCTAATGTTCTGTGTTCAGGTTTATAAAAAAAATGTACTCAAATGTGTTATTCTCTTTAATAATGTTTTATGGCAATCTAAGGACTGGTCTCAAAATATTCATATGTCCCAGTTAGGGCTGAGATGGATTAATTTTCCATTTGAGTACCAAAATGTGCATTAGACTCGGCATGTTAGACTAAGGTGGGTAGCCCTGTTAGTCTGTAGTCGCCTAGCACCTTAAAGACTAACAAAATTTGTCACTCACGGAAACTCATACCCTGCCACAAATTTTGTTAGTCTTTAAGGTACTACTGGACTCTTGCTCTTTTCTACCATTTTAGAATAGGTTTGAAAATGATAGGAAGGATCAGCTTGATTTGCAATGCAAGCCTAAATAGAGTCATGCCCTTCTAAACTACTGACTCACAAATTGCAGTGGATGCACATACAATCCATGTACAATGTATCCCTTGATTGTTCTTTATACACAGGTTGAATCATGTTACATTCAACTCATGTAACTGAAACCCCACATTTGTCCAGGTTTCATTAGTAAAGAGAACACACATTGGCTTTCTTACAAGCATAGAATCATAGAGTTGGAAGGGGCCATACAGACCATCTAGTCCAACCCCCTGCCCAATGCAGGACCAGCCTAAAGCATCTCTGACAAATATTCGTCCAGCCTCTTCTTGAAAGCTGTCAATGAAGGGGAGATAACCACACCTCTAGGCAGCTGATTCCGCCTCCGAACCACTCTGACTGTGAAAAAGTATTTCCTAATATCCAGGTGATACCTTTCTGCGTGAAATTTAAACCCGTTGCTTTGGGTCCTATCCTCTGCTGCCAACTGGAACAGCTCCTTGCCCTCCTCCAAATGACAGCCCTTAAAATATTTAAAGAGAGCAATCATGTCTCCCCCTCAATCTCCTCTTCTCCAAACTAATTCCCAGGCCCCTCAGCCTTTCCTTGTAGGGCTCAGTCTCCAGACCCCTGATCATCCTCCTCACTCTCTTCTGCACCCTCTCGATTTTGT